AGGCATGCCATGGGCTGTTGTATAGCTCACATGGTAGAAATGGCGGCTCAGTCCCCATTCGGAGGACCGGGGTTTCAAACTCGGCCTGGGACCATTGGCTGCATTTCATCCCCTATTTCTCCGCCAATCCACATACAAGGGTATGAGATTGCAGGGATGTGTTCACAGAAACTAAAAAAGAAAAATGTAGGGAATTAAAAAAAGAATGCCCTAACAAAAGGGGGTGGAGCACCAGACTAAAAAAAAAAGTGCAGGTACTATTATTAACATTAAAAAGTTTGATATCTGTAGCGTCAGTGTGCTTATAAATGATCCATCATGAATTATTGGATGGCATGGTTCCCATTGAAGTGTTAATGAAATCCTATTAAAAGATAATAATGCTTTGTAACATTTTGAAAATATATTTAAAAATTAAATCAATTATAAGATGTATTATTGTAATTCAAACCCTATATTATAGAAATGTAGAATTGAAGAAAAAGCAATATCCAATTTCAGGGCACACACATGGCAGCCCTCAAATGTGCGTAAGTGCGCATAGATTCTGCTCTTAACTCATAGAATCCCAAATGACAAGAAAAAAAAACATAAGTTGATTTTATAATAAGAATTGTTGCCTTAAGAAGGGTTGGTGATTGAGGCACATTGTTGTGTTTGGCTGCACACAGGGTCAAAGAGGTTGAATGAACCAGAACAGATTGTACTTGTTTACACATTTGTATTCCATTCTTTTTGGAAGGACTACAAGGACACAGCCCTGTACTCCATCAAGCACCCACTCTCCTCGTTAACTGGTTTTGATCACAAATAGCCTGAGGTCCAGCAACAAACACATTTAATTGCTGTATGAAATGATTGCATATTTGTAAGCCTCTACACCCCTAGCATGTGTTTTTGTATTGAATACATGCCCATTGATTTTACTCATGATGAAAGGTTCTACTGTAAATGAATAACATTGTCTTATGGCATGTTTTGGGAATAAAGAAAGATTTGTTATCAAATGTCACTTGAATTATTTGACGATTACAACATTTTATTTTTCACTCCGTCACTGTCAGTTTGGTTTTCAAGCTCAATTAAATATTTGAAGACTGGCATGTGTTATAATAAACATGGATTAAGTTGTCCAAGATTGCTGGAACAACACATCAGTTTGAGGATAGAAAGCCAAATCTCTTGATCGGGATGTCAATAGAAGTTTTTTTGGAAAACAGTCAGCCTTAGAATCAGAGAAAAATGCTATAAAATGTAAATACTGCTTGACTTGGATGTCATTTTTCTATGGCGCATTTATTGCAAAGCAATAGACATATTAGCAATGATGGTTTAAGTTATAAGCATGTATTAAGATATAGTTTCAGATATATAATGTTCTATCAACAACTTAGTGTTAAAATCGATTTTTAAGGAAGATTTCTATATAATTTTTTTTTTCTTCTGTGAACTACTCTGCTGTACCACAATTACAACACACACTTGATACACAACAAAAGGTCACTGGAAATACATTGAGACCAGATCAACCAAAAGTCAGATAAATTCAACGACAAATTCTTGCAATTGCCCTCTAAAATGACTAATTTCTAAATTAATCATTAGAATTAGATCTGACGTCCCTATTCGTAGGGCAACATTCTTTGTCTGTGCTCTACAAAACAGTAACCAATCAGTGTTGCAAAAAAATCGATCATATTATTTGATGATAAGGGTTGCCTAGGTTTAAGCACTCTAGGGAAAAATCATAGTGGGTCTTTACATCTAAGTCCTTATGTGCTTTATAGGCTTTAATTACTTCAAGGAGAACATTTGGGACGTTCTTCCTGGCCGGAACAACTTTAATGAATATCATTTGGCGTCCCGCAGGGCTCCATTCCTGGTCCTCTATTATAACTTCTGCAAACGCGATTATGTTTTAGCCTTAGATTGTCTGTTTGTCTGTGCAAAATTACAAACTCACTTTTCATAAAAACTTAGTAGTGGAAGGGATGTTTCTTGGGTGAAGGAAGAACCGATTACATTTCCGACCTGATCCAAAACACGGGGCAAATACAAAGATTAGGTTTTACTTCAAGTCAACTTTTCAAAATGTGGGCATTTGTTGTGCATCATTTGGTGTTGGGATAGTTTAAAAAATGAGATCCCAAATAGGAAAATTGAAAGCACCTTCAAGAGGGAGCAACTATAAACAGATATGAATATGTTATTTAACGTTCTGAACCACTGAATACAATAACACATGTTCTTTGTAACCTACATGTGGTCTTCATTAAAAGCTCATGAACACATAGAAGTCCAAACAATGCACCATCCGCCTCGCCTTGCTAACTCACTCTATACAGTGACATTCAAGGTTCTCTTCTCACCAATGTACAAGTCACGCTTAAAAAAAAACATGTATCATTTTAACTGAGGGAGATGAGTAACAACTTGTCAAAATGTTAAATGTTAGAAAATGCAATTATCGGGAATTACATTTTTAAGAGAAAATAAGAGTATATTACAAGATCAAATCAAATCAAATCAACTCAAGTTTTATTTATACAGTATAGCACATTTTTAAACGATTTTTGGTCGAGCCAAAGTGCTGTACATATAATAAAAATACCCTACAGTAAAGGCACTTTACAGCAAATACAACAGCACAGTTTGTTCAGAATATCAGTATGAGAAAAACGACACCCTCTGTCCTTAGATCAAGTATATCACAATATGCTTTGATGACAGGAAGAGACTTAACAGATTGGTTAAAACCCTTAGATGCATAAGTGGGTCTTTTTGGACCCGGTGAGGTGGTTTTCTTGAAGTATCTTTGTAATTGCATTTTTTTTATCATTTCATATTCCAGCTATTCCTCAAAAAACATGTTTTGGATATCATGCCATTCAAATTTTAAATTTAAATGTTATACATTTTAAGAAATTGTAGTTTTTGTATTACTACCCCAAGCTTCCATAAGTGGGTCAAAAATTACCCGCATGCATTTTCTATGGGATCCTTTGGGAACCTTTGATTCTTATCACCTGTTGCTGTCAGGAATACATTCACTGTAGACCACACAGACTACACCACAAGTGACACCTCTCAGGAAGATTATTTTACACAGCAAGATCTGATACCTGTCAGTATAATAATAATAATAATAATAATAATAATAATAATAATAATACATTATATTTGTATAGGGCTTTTCAAGGACTCAAGATCGCTTTACAATATAAGGGAAGGTTAGGGTGGGGGGTATAGGACTATCAAACTTGATCAACCGGCATGGATTGATGGGGGGGGGGGGGGGGGGCTATGAGTCGACAAGAGGAGAAGAGATGAGTTTTGAAAAGGGACTGGAATACTGTGAGGGTCTCAGAATAGCGGAGATCTTTGGGACAATATGTTCAAAACGTTTTTTTTCAAAATGTAAAAGAAATGTCTAAAATTATAAATTTTGAAAAATTAAATATAAAATATTTCTAATGTGAACCAAAATATAATACTAAATATTATACAAGTGATTTTTCTTAACCAAAATGACAAAAAAACACATATTATTCTAATACGGTCCTTTTTGACCCACTTATGGAAGAGTGTGGTCCAGTCACTCGTGCATCTAAGGGTTAAGAAGGCCAGCTCTGTCCTGGGGAGTCCTCTGGACACTGAAGAGGTGTTGGGGGACAGGGGAGTGATGGCAAAGCTGTAATCACTATTGGACAATTCATCCCACCCCCTCCAGGACACCATGTACGCACTGTGCAGCTCCTTCAGCGGACAGGCTGTACAACCACCACGGCCCCTGGTAGACCCCCCCACACATAGACTGGAATTCCCCTGATGTGCAATAACACTGTCTGAAAATATTAAACTTTGTGCAATAGAAATACAAGTGCAATATAACCCCCTGCAATTTCATGTTTATTACCATGGTGTACAAATACCTGCCATTTAGTTTTAGTTTTTTACTTATTGTGTTATTAATAACCTTTTCATACTTAGCAATTTGTTTTGGTTCTCCTCTAAGGATTTCTCTTACATTACATTACATGTTACTTGTTAGACGCTTTTATCCAAAGCGACTTACATACTCAATACTGTGGACAATCCCCACAGGAGCAATTTGGGGTGAAGTGTCTTGCCCAGGGACACAACGACATGCTGACTGCAGTGGGGTTTGAACCTGTTGATCCCAACACCAACGCACAACCCACTGCACCACACGCCTCTTAGTGATGGTTATGTATTCCCAACCTCATTCTGCCCTCTGCTGTTCAATTACTATAATACAGAAACATATTGAACATTAGCAATAATAGATGACATATAGTATAATGCAGGATGCGTAAATAAGTACAGTCGTTGAAGTGATCCAAAATTGTGGTTGTAATGTACAGTAAACACACACAGAAGCTTGTCCCGGTGGCAATTGTTTCAGTTTGTTGGGAAAATGTTTCCAGTTTCATTTTGTGAAGAGGAAATTTAACAGGAAATAGAAAAATGATCACATTAATGCTATTCCACAGTACGAGTCATCAACACTGCCAAGGTGTGTGTTAATGACATCATGAACAGCATACGTCTTACACCCAGTGGTGTGTGACAGGGGCAAGGTTAGTGTTTTATTTAACAACCTGAACATTTAGACACATGTCTAATTAAAGAAGCCTGATCATAGGGCTTCAATGGGTGTCTTTAAAAGCTCAAACATCATCTTATCCCCTAGCACTTACATTATTATGATTCCTTTGATAAGGTTGTTATAGCCGTCATTCATCAGCTCCTTCCTCAGGTCACCAATTGTGCCATAGCTTTTACATTTGAGGTCAAATTTTGTGGCAAACTGCCCAATGTTTTGAGCTTGCTTTTATAAAGTGAGTGTTGTTTTGTTATAGAGCAATTGATCCTTGATTATGTATCTGTAAAAATGATGTATCTGAGATGTATAACACAATACAAATTAGGAAGCATGGGAAAAAAACACACCAAATAAAAACACGAGATCAATCATATGCTTATGGATGTATTTTAATAAAAATAATTCTGTCAAAATTAAACAGAATACAATATTTCTTTTTTAACATGTTTCCAGTACATAGGTTTTTTTTTCAATTATCATTTTTCCTTTTTTTATATCGTTTTAAAAGTCATGCTAAGTAGAGGGTAACTCATTTCACAATAGTTTTTTTTATTTTTATTTTTTTGCTAAAACTCAAAGTCAAAATATGAAATTTAAATCATGATAGAAGTCAATTGTGCACAGCTCGTCTGCAATGCCTAAATCCATTTCTCCGGCCTCTCCTGAAGAAGTCCATGTGGCTTCAGGGGCCTCAGGCCCATTTCCAAAACTGTTCACATTCCTCCATTTCTTAAAAACAATCACTGATCACATCAGTGGCTATGTCTAGGCAGGGATAAGAGGGGTGCATGGTAACAGTGCTGAGACGCAGCCCAGGCTCAAACACAAATGACAACTGGGAGACTTGTTCCCTACAGGTATGCAACAGAGGTTTGTCTTTCACGTGTGTGTGTGTGTGTGTGTGTGTGTGTGTGTGTGTGTGTGTGTGTGTGTGTGTGTGTGTGTGTAACATAAGTCCTTTACAGCTGTAGATATTGTGAGTGTGTACTGCATGTGAGGTTATTAGAATAGTTCCTATTATATCTGAAGGTCTTAATAAAAACCAGCTCGGAAAAAAGATGACCACATACCCTGTTGTAAACCCCACATTGCATACACACATCTCCAGTATTATATTATTCCATATTTCTCTATTCTCTTATACATGGAAATATACACTTCAGGGTGGATCCACAAGCCATTTGCGAGGTCACAACAAAGCAGTCAAAGTGACAGTTTGCCACTAGTCAGACAAAACATTAAATCATTTCTATTTGGTAGAAAATAGTCTGATGTAAAAACAAAAGAATGAAAATGTTTCAAATAAAGCTGAGGGATGAAACAAAAGCTTTGTTATCAAAGCCCAGTTATTGGACTGGAAATAAGGTGTAGTTGAGTCAAATTTGTTCAATTGTGCAATAAACAATCATCTTTTCGGATACAGAGACAGAAACTGATGATAATGATAACATTTGAAAATGAATAATATTAAACTTCAATATTGGATAAGTAAACAAGACATAGTGAAATAAACAATCTTGTGACCAAATATACAAGAGCCGATAAGCTGGGAGATCATTCAAAAGGTGTACACTTGTAATTTGGGTTCCTACTTAAACAAGTTTACCTGCTTTTATTTTCACAAAAATGTTCAAAATATGTGTGTATGTATCTCTTACTGTCCGTCTGAATGTACCCCTTTTCAGCTTCCTTCTGAATTGATGCATTTAAGCGCCTTCCACTCCCGAAAAAGCCCAATCTCAGGCCCAACAGGAGCTAGCTAGCAACAGCAAAGAATGTGTGTTTTTGCACATAACAGTGGTGCTCCTTTCTCTGAGAAACATTTCCAGAATCAATGAACTACTTAAGTCAGAATTAGCTGCTGCAGCTAACATTTGCTATTATTAATAATCATACGAGGTCATTCAAAGCCCAAAAACTAGCCCAGCTAGGTAGCTTAAGTTGCCCTGTTGAAGCTCAAAAGAAAGAAAGACAGCTGTGTTACTGTGGATTGTGTTCATAAGCAGCAACAAACAGTTGGTTGAACCAAAAAGAGTTTCTGGCTTGGGAGTTAGCAAACAGCCAAATCGTTTTACAGTAGCTAATTGGAGCTAGCTGGCTACATTTTGGAAGCTTGAGGGTGGACTCTTACAAGAGGGCATGAAAAACTAAATTATTTCACAATGTATTGTTTCAATTACAGTTGACTCATTTATTTCACAATGTCTTGTATCATATAATATCAAAAACGTTTGGGCACTAAACACATTTGCTGAAAGCTGTTGTTGGGGGCTAAATCAAAGGTCATTTGTTTTCTTTTTTATAACTGAACTGACTCCAAAACAGGAGGATATTGGAACAATCTGAATCTTTCTTCATCATCTTTTCATCAAGTTAATGTACTGGGAGGCACTCTTGGACACATCTTTGGGCTTCATAAATTAACTTACCGCCTGTCCAGTAATAGGCAAGACATAATCACTTTAAGCTCATGGTTGATAGAGAAATGGAGGTTTCTGTGTGAAAAAAATGATTGGTTCAACACCTTAAACAACCTTTGAGAGGTTTCCACTCAATCACCCTAATTACATAAATGAAATTACTTAATTATCCCAATTATCACCCTAAAATGAATTTGGCAAATTATTTTTCCTCTTCGTTTTAAATTATAATTGCTACAGCACATGCACAGAGCAGGTCAGGTGGAGGCCAACCAAAGAAAATAGAAAGAAAATAAGAATATTGTAATGAAAATCCTTGGGGGGGGGACTTGACCTTTAGCCGTCCACACCCTGTGCTTGTTAGTCTACTTTGGAACCTGATTTTCTTTCTGCTGGCATGAAGGCGACCCTGATAATAGTGTTACATTGGATCTTGAGCAGGTGTTGTAGCTGCAGCTGATGCTGAGCTCTGCCACCTGCAACCACATCACTGATTGGTCGATGCTCTGGTCGTTACAGTCAAATTAAGGCTTCAACACCTCTAATATTCCAATGTAATCCCGTCCTTAAAATGCTGCCCCTTGTTACTGGCAGTGTTCTTCTCTACAGAGGTCCTTCAATTCAGTTTTTTTACACAGGATGCAAGCCATTATTTTTGAACCTCTGGAATAATTGAGGGGCCCACGTGTGTCTTACATCAGTCTATTCTTTTTTTTTCAGCATCTCCACACAATCAAATGTGTTTTCATGCTGACTACTGCTGGATGTAATATAAGACATAATTGCTTCAAGTATTTTGGAAGGATAAAGGGTTCAGCGTCTGTCTTCTGTATCAAAAATGAGGTTAATATGCCTCAGGAACTGTTGACCTACAATTGTGGGGGTTACCGCAGTAACGAGATGTGTGTATTGTGGTTTGTGATATGGTGAACAACACAAAATTGAATAAAATACTGACTGTAGGAAATCAAAATCCACCCGATAAAACAGAAGAAAAATTAAAAAGGGGATTAACAATTTGTTTTGTCGAGGATGAGCACAACAATCTGACAAAAAAGAACTATAAAAATGGCTAGATAAACAGAATAATAATTAATTATCTTTAAATAGTGTCACACATTTCTTTATTTGATAATACTAAATTAAAAGGAAGCCTTCTTCTCTCCCGCTCGCCTCTCCTCTGTCGGTGCCGCTGGCTTGGTCTGATGGACAGCCAAACACACCAATCACACGCATGCTCTCTCCTCTGTCGCCATGACAACTACCTGCAGGACATGCCTTCTCTCAGTGCTACTTAACATTAACCTGTGGAGAGACGGGTAATCATCTAAGCAGGGTAATGAATGATGTAACATGATTAAAACAGCTTGAGTTCATTTTCATGCTCAGCATAGATGTGGGGTTTTGGTATTTCATTTTGAAGATATTCATTTGAATAATACTGTATGACCAATGTTTAAGTTATTTACATTTTTTTAATTATTGCATTGAGAAATGTTTCCGTAGAAAAATAATAAACGGGGACTGTTACACCCTGTACCTTCACATCATTTGAATACTTTTCCAAATGCTTCGATACAGGATGCTCAAAATGCCAAAGGTCATACAGTATGTCCCTCAGAAAATACAACACAAAAGTATGATATCTTTTAATTGGATCTTATTATCTTAATTTTGGCAATCCTTTCTATGGATCATGTTAACTTTGCACTTGCCACCTCTCTTGTAGAGATACAGGAAATGTAATCCTGGGAGAAAAAACGTGTACCAGAGAATGGATAACAAACCATGGATTAGCTGTTATCGCTATCCATTTCCAGATCCACTTCAGGGCTAACCAAGCTAGCTAACCAAGCTATCTGTTCTGTACCGGTTTACATTTGCGAGGCTGTGTCGCTGTGATTCAGCAAATTAATTAGGATTATTAGCAAAGCCTCTTATCACCACAATAAAGTATACTTCCACTGTATTAGTGGAATATAAGTATAAACACAACATTTGTATTTAATGTTACACCATCTTAACAGTGGCATGTGGACACAGTTATTCAGTCATTTAACTTCCATAAAGCCATTGAGCTAAGATTAGCTTAAACTATGGGCAAACACTAGCTGTTTGAATTAGCATTAGCTAGCTGATTTTCCTGCAGAAAAATAACTAGTTTGGTGAGCTGGTTAGTTTCAGGAGGTTAATCGCTCAGCAGTTAGCTACAATAGCTAATCGAGGAGCTTATTTATGAGTTTACTTTCAGTTTGGACTGTTTAGTGTTTGGAACGTTTTTTTGTAAAATGTAGGTCTAACTCGAAGGTTTTAGGTGTCTTGTGCCTCTTTACAAAGCTAGCATGACCCATCAGAAAAACTCCAACTTTGAGAAAATAAGGTATTGTGTCAGAAACATGTATTGTCTGTGGTCTTATCTCACATAAACTTGCTCACCTGGACCTGGGCTAGTGCAAAAAGTTGTCTACTCTGGCGAATGAGCAGGAGCCAGAGCGGACTCGGGCCATGAGCTGAACACACTCTGTGGCCTGGCCGAGCGCTAACATCAGTGGAGGCTGCTTAGGCAGGTTTTGGGACTCTAGAGCAGAAAAACACAGTCAGGCAGGAAAAGGTGCAGCACATAAGTCACAATAATGCATCAAGTGTGTGGGCTGGGTATTAGAGACTCCATATTAAAAGAGATCATGTCAAGGGGTTGCTCTCTTTTTGCCACATGGCTATAACAATATCACAGTGTAAGAGGCAATCCACAAGAAGAAGAATAACTTTAAAGATAACTATATACTGATGTGAGCATCCACAAGTATGTACAATAACATTCTGTTAAGAGTGGCACCAAGCAAATGATGCATGCACCAGCTGTTTTTTCAGCACTGTCACCTTGAGAAGTTAAAAATGGGGTCATGTAAACATGTTGGTGATACTAATAGATATTTGAATGCCCCTCATACACAGCTACAATATTTACATCATAATCACAGGATGATAATAATAATTTATTAAGGACTTGATTTAACCTCAGATAATAATAACTCATGTTTGTAACTAAAGAACTCATGAAGGCGCATTGTTGTTATTTTTGATTATCAAGAAAGTGTTCTTCAGCAGCATCTCTCTCTCCTTGAGTTATTTTAAACTGTTTCCTTATTCTTATTATTATTAATAACGATAAGATTCAAAATCAAGTTCTTCATAAATGTTGTATCTGTAGTGTATTAAAATGGACGTTTTTAATTGTTCTCAAGTCATCCATTTCAGTTAGTACATCTTTGAAACAATATATGTATAGTTATTGGTGTTGTTTTGGATGTCCATTTACAGTGAACAAAACCCACAGTATGCATCAGTGTTGGCTGTTTACCCAGTATGGCGCTGTTGAGTGCGGAGCAGAGGGTTTCTCTCTGGGTGGGGTCTAACTGCTGGCCCACCGGGCAGCTCCAGGGGTCCGAGTACGCTAGCAGGCTGAATGCATCCTACAGACAGACATCATTATTATATTTATAAACGTTATTTATATAGCACGCAAGATGCAGCCCAAAATGCTTTATTGATACAAAATAAAGATGGAGGAACATAAGGAAACACTTTATAAACAAGCAAATAGTTATATCACAGAACCATAAAACAATAAAACATGAACAGTGATAAAACTAAAATGATTTAAAAAAAGAATGTGCTTTAAAAAAGCACCAATGGAGTTTGCTGTTCTAAGATCCAATGGGATGCTGTTCCACAGTTTGGGGCCATAAAAACAAAAAGAAGCCTCCCCAGATTTCTTGTGTAATACTTTCGGTACTTCTAAAATAAATTCATTAGAAGATCTGAATGATACATTATGCAGCTTCCTAAATCGAGTTTATAATGTAATTTAGGCCTGAGTCTAATGTCACTACATGTCATTGTCAGTTGCTTGCACTGTTTAGTCTTTAGCGTTTTTTAGCAGCATATTTGAGCCTCTTTAAGCTCACTGTTTTGGTTTTCTAGAATCCCAAATGTGCCATCTAGCATATAGATCCTGAAGTTCAACACATTCATTTGCCAGTGAAAAACCCCGATCTTGTAAATGATTGGGGGAATGCAAAATAGGCAGCAAACAGATATCTGCTTCAATGAAAGGCAGGAATCTTGTGTCCTAAATTGTACCTCATTTCTGAATATCGGGAAAAGAAACAAAGCAAAGCTTGAGGACATTCAAAAGCCTTGATGCTTGGTCATACTTCAAGGTGGATGAAGTATGACAGGTTTGTGCAAATATTTTAATTTCTAACCATTTCTATTTATGTTTTTTAGAGATTTTTAGACATAGATTTGAAACGTGGAGACGGAGCGGATGACAATGGTCCCGATAGTAAATGGTCCCAAGCTGGATTCGAACCCAAATCCGCTTCGGGGCCATGCCCAGTACATGCGCCGCGACCTCTACCAAGTGAGCTATATGGCAGCCCGAAATTTCAATTTTTCAAAAGTTTAACCTAGCTTTATTTGAAGCAACGCTGCCACCCAGTGGGCGTGACAGCAGTGACCACAGCCTACAATGACATCACGTATATCAGCTTATATCACTTATATCAATGGAAATGTATTCCGTTTCAATAACAAATGAGCTGTAAAGCAAATGTAATCACTAACCTATCCAAGCATGTAACCTGATTACTTTCCATTACTTTAGGATTATCGATATTTTAAATATCAAGAAAAACAAAAGAAGACAAATATCCACCAAAGAAAGAAAAACATTAAGCAAATTCATTCAGTGGGTGTAAGTATGGGACAACAAAACAATATGGCTCACAAAGCTGAATTAAAATCTGCCACAGTAAAACAAATATTGTTTTTAACCCTCCTGTTGTCTTCGGGTCAAATCTGACCGATTTACTACTTTCATCAATCGTAACTTTTTTGTTTTACATTCGATTGCATTAAGGCTTTTGAACATATACAATTTCTGATCACCACTTTCGTTGAATTTTGGATGATTTAGTCAACTTTGTAACACCCATGGTGTTCCCGGTCAAAAATGACCGCCATAAAGAAATGGAATTAGTAACCATCCGGATCAGATACAACCCGCTCTTATGTGCCCATCCCCCCACATGGATCACACCTGGCACACGCAATACATGTTCAATGTCTATTCTTTGTATATTTACTACAGTTGTTCATGTATACCAGTAGTCTGATACAATATTTACAGTTTGAAAGGGTGTTAAATGAAATGTGGTGATGATTAATGGTTTTTGTGTTAATGTAATAGCAGTTAAAACAGGACCGGTCAAATTTGACCGCTAACACCGAAGTAAGGGGGGGAAACTAACACAACAGGAGGGTTAACCAACTGTAAAATTAAAAAAAGGAAAGACCACAGCAACTACAGCCAATTTACAGGACTATTGATTCAGATTCAATTTAGCGGCAAGGCCGATGGAATAGTATTACGGTAGTTAGAAATGCTGTTAAAAGAAGCACTCAAGACTAATTTCACTTGATTAAATCTGATTATGTATTTATATTATGCAACTGTTAGGGAATACAGTTCGTTTTTTTGTAATCTAATTACAAAATCCAGTTTCATGTATTTTCTTAATCCGTCACTTGGTATGGAGTCTTTCTAAGTTGGGGTTCAGCAGCTGGAATTAAATCAACAGTAGCAGAAAACCAAACAAGAACAGGGCCATGTTTGTTGTGATAGATGTTTTTGCTATAATGCAATAACTACAAAATTCCTCTATCACGTCTGTGTTTAACAAACAACTACAGACTGTCCCCTTGGCAGAGCCTTTATCATTCCCCTGCAGTTTTTGTGTTTTCCAGAGGCTCTATTGTTCTCAGGGTGGCTGCTTATGAATCAGAGGACACATCCTGCAGTCCAAAGTCATCCAAGCCCTCTCCTCCACCTCCAGAGAACCGACCCACGGGATGCTACAGATGGATTCTATCTGCTTTACGACAGCACATCCTAAATCAAACATTTCTCAAATTCCTGCAGCGTGTACAGAATGCTGCACTGAGGATTTCAGCTGGTGCCAACAGAGGAAATCTCTTCCGTGAAAGTGTGAGCATGTGCAGTTTGTGTGTGTGTGTGTGCGTGCGTGCGTGCGTGTGTGTGTACCTGTAACATCTTCTTGTGTGTGGTGTTCTTGCCATACTCGCGACACAGCTGTTCGTTGAGCGACTGTAGCTCCCGTCCAAACTGGATCATCCTCTCTGTGGCGGCCTGGTTCCCTCCACAGAGCTGTCGGCCATTACTGCAACCATCATCTGCTGGCAACAGACACACAAGTACACACAGGGTTAAAGAAAACACATCATGATGGAAGGTGAATTTAAACATGATATGAGGTGGGGTAAACGACAAAGCACATGATGATGATTTAAACAAGGTGTGTGTGTGTGTGTGTGTGTGTGTGTGTGTGTGTGTGTGTGTGTGTGTGTGTGTGTGTGTGTGTGTGTGTGTGTGTGTGTGTGTGTGTGTGTGTGTGTGTGTGTGTGTGTTAGGGATGCCAGAAACTGACCATGATCAAACCCTTCTTTGTTCCTCTTTAGTTGTGTTGTTCTCACTGTTCTGTATATCGCCAATAAATCAATCGCACGTGTGACGGAGAAGGGGGGGGGGGTCGGTGTGCAGCAGTCTGCACTCTGCGCAGCCTGCGCTGCTGGCTTCCTCCAAGTTTACAGTAAAACAAACTGGTGGTGTGACCAATGGCCATTTACAATTATTAATACTATTACTATTATTAGCATTAGTCTATATTTTGGTTGAAACTAAGCCAGGAAAAAAAAGAATAACATAAATAATAATAAAAAAATATATAAATAAAATCGAATTTTAAAAATAATTTTCGATTATGGAGACTGTAACGAATATTCGAAAAATCAAATAATCGCTGGCATCCCTAGTGTGTGTGTGTGTGTGTGTGTGTGTGTGTGTGTGTGTTTACCTGTGACCCCATTGCCAATGCTGTTGTCGTCTGGCTGAAGGATCTCTTCGTGTTTGTATGTGCCATTCATGATCCGCGCTGAGGAGCCCTCAACAACTCCGTTGGTATAGTGCTCTGCTTCAATCTCCATCTCGCTGTCACTTCACAAACACACACACACACACACACAACACGCACACACAGCAGACACACAAATACAGAGACACAAAAGATGGCACACAGAAGCGTTAAGAGGATGAAAGTTCATGAACAATAATGCACCAAGATGCCTCATCAAAACATGTCTAAATGAAGCCCCTGTTAAGAAGTTTCACAACTTGTAATACATTTCCCTATAGGGCAGGGCTCTCCAACACGTCGATCGCGAGCTACCGGTAGCTCGCGGGCAGCTTTTCAGTAGCTCGCCGCTCGATTATTGATTATAGCGTAGTAAGGTTGCTTATTGATTTTTCGGCCGCGGCTGGACAATAACGTTTTTTTATTTTAGAATTTTTTCTGTCACACGAATATCAAATGGTCGGTGACGCAGAGATCAAGGAACAGACGTGACAGCAGCACAGCGACAACACACACGGAGCAGTCTGCTTTCTCCACCAACACCAGTCCAGAACCAACAGCAGAATGACCCGCTCTGAATCAGCCCCTGTCGCTGCGCGTCAGAGACACACAGGGAGGGATTTGTGTTTTTTGAAAAACACTCGTTATCGTCATGTCAGGTTTTTGGTGGATTTAATCAAGTCTTGGATTGCAGAGTATGAATGTCCTCTTGCTATTTTCAGTTGATAAATACTTGTGTAAAGTTTGTGAAGGCAGGAGGAAAGCTTCCGCGATCACCGTCTCCTCTGTTCCTCCAAACCCCGCCTCCTCCCTGAAAATAATGAGTGACAGGCTGATAGTGACCCGATAGAAACTTTATTATTCACTTAATCACTGATTGAGATATGATGAAGCTAACTTAATCTTATACATTCATGGGATTTATGTAACAGTAAGACAGAGAATGTAAGTGTGCACCCACATGCACTATTTTTGTTTTTATAATGCTATTGTAAATACTCCTGCTGTTTTCAGACTCAAGTCCTGTGTGTGATGCATTCAAGACATTCAGTGTCTTTTTTTTTAACAGAAGACTAGCTAGAAGCTGCAGCTAGACTGCAGAAGTATTAGTTTTTTGTTTTTGAGGATAGAACCATTTTCACACACAGATATAGGGAGGCTAGACCTATACAATTAATTTATTATGGTTTATAATTTAATGTCAAGACGAAGAAGAAGAAGAAAAAGATGGCTGAACAACTGTTCAGTGTCAATCCTGTGGAGATCTCCAAAATAATGTTCAGCTTAAGTCTCAGCAAAACTCACAACATTTCTGGAGCCTTGTAGACCCAGAAAACTATAAGAACATTCACCAAGCAGCACTGAAAATGTCTGCTTTATTTGGTTCTGTTCTACATACCTTTGTGAAGCAGCTTTTTCTGACATGAATGAAATCTAAATACAGAACAAGACCAACTGATGAACATTTAAATGACTCTATTCTATGACTCCAGCATACACCTCTATGGTGGACTGCATGCAGTGCCATTCATCTCACTAACAAAAGAGTGAAATGCTTGTAAGGTGGTGATTAAGGACACTTATGTGAATGTTCAGTGATGTACTTATTATGTGGGCCATAATAATATGTGACAAATCTTCGTTTTCTTGGACCTTATTTTTGATAAGCTTTAGGTATTGCAATTTCACACGTGTACAAAAGTATAGCTTAATTCAACTGATGAGGGCTATGTGAATAAATGTAAGCGATGTGATGCAAGTAGCTCTTGGCCACTTTCATTTTTTGAAAGTAGCTCTCAGATGAAGAAAGGTTGGAGACCCCTGCTATAGGGTATGCTAACAATGTATTAATCAATCACATTGCTAAAACCTGAAGAAAGGTCCCCTTTCCAACAGTAGTCCACTAAGGCAACAAATACAGAGATTTGAGACATTTTAACAATTTCATCTAAACCACTTATCAAGTCTCTAATTAACTGAATGTTAGTCAAAAGTCAATTAAGTGGGTAAAATGACATTACACCTTGAAATGATGACCAGAAATACCACCAGAGTGCTCAGGTCCCAGCTCACTTCTTAATGTGTGTTTGCAGCGTTTTGTTTATTCTACACTTTTCATTCGCTGCGCATGTCTCGTCAAGTCTTGAAGATCATTCTTTATTTGCATGTGTATGTTTTTTGGCGTCATTTCTGAAGCGGCAGCGTGTTTCACCAAATGGAAGTGTTCGGGCTGTGGCAGTGCGTTTGCACCTCTCGGCCACCGTACAGCTACTTCCTAATACACCGGTGGCAGAGCCTTGACAAGGCATAAACAATGTTTATTGGCTTAAAGCTCCCATGTCATGCTTTTCCGGTTATTACCCGTCCCCTTGTGTGTTATGAAGGTTTTTATGCATGTAAACGGTGTGCAGAGTCAAAACCCTCAAAGTACACCCTGTAGCGAGTAAAACTCTAACACAGAAAATACCTCCCCAAACGCCTCGTTGGAGATACGTCACTGGCCATTTGAGTCTTCCATTTCGTTCCGGGTACGGCATGATGTCAAGCGGTACCCGGAACGAAATGGACCAATCCCGAAGAGCCGTTACGTTACGTCCGCGGAGCCATTACGTTAAGCCCCCGCTGATTGGTCCAAATTGACCGATCCACGGACTTCCTCACACACACATCTGTGTGCAGGGAGCAGGCAGCTCAGCTGATTTCTCCTCCCTGGCTGCAGGCTGATAACAGACAGCTGGGATCGCGGCAAAATTCTCTCTGCAGACCCATTCTCACAGCGTTTATCAACCTTTTTCTTACTCAATATCAAGCCACACTTATTGTTTTAACTTCGGATGTGAGTTTGTGTGTGCTCAGGATGAGTTTGGCTGTGTTTCGCTATGTATCCTAAACAAGGAAGCAACACCTCCACGGAGCTCAGCGCGATTCACAACGTCCCGACCAATCAGAGCACACTGTGCTCACAGGGAGGGTGGGGGCTGGAGCTATTGGAGCTACAACGAGCCGTTAAAGGCAGAGAGTGAAATTCAGTGAATACACGTAGTTTACAGAGATGCTGTATGAGAAACCAATGTGAGTTTGGAAAAATGCACAGTATAAATCTATTTTAATATACCTCAACAATGGAATTATGATCAGTGGAAATGGCCATGACACCTCTCCTTTAATGTATGATCGACTACACTAACCATGATAACGGGAACCTTACGGTAAAGGTGTCAATTAAAATAAATAAAGCCCACAAGAAGCCTTTACAATGGATCAGTTCATGTATGAAATCTGGTAGACAAACTGATTGAAATAAAAAATAATTGAGATTAGTATATATAATGAAACGGGGCCATCTCACAGCTCTGGATACTTTTCCCCATCAGTTTGGAAAGCCCTGAGTGCAGTGTCATAGATGGTGCCAATGTTCCTGAGTGCCAACGTTTTTATTAGCTTGCAGTGATTACATATTAATGTCTTCAAATGAGTGCGGTAATGATTTATTGATGATAAACTATCCTGTAACCTACATCTGTATTTATTTGTAAGCATAAACTGAGTAATGATGCCATCAGTAATGCTCTAAATGCTTCCTACCTGGTTTCCTGGGTGCTGTTGGCGCTGTGCGGCTGGCTCTTGGTGGAGTCGGAGGAGTTGGACTCGGAGTAGTTGACGGAGGAAGGGGAGGAGGAGGAGGAAGAGGAGGTGGAGGAGGACACGCTGGGGTATTTGACGCTGCTGTTGCCGGTGCCACTGTGGCTCTTTGACTTGTTGGGGGGGGGTCACTCCGTTACTGCAGGTTGGGCTGTCTGATCCTGTGTGTTGTAGGGGACAGTCAAATGAAGACATATATCTCATTTCCTTCAGTTACTGGGATTTGGGACTGGCATTTCTATCTATCTAACACTTATGTGCAATATACACTATTTGATCAATAGTATTACTGGCTGCTACACTTTTGTGAAATAATACTGTGCAAGATCTCCGTTTTGATATTTAAAAAGCAACTTACTTTTATACAGTTGCTACTTATCTTTTGTACCCTGCATGTGTACTTCTTCGATTGGAATTATCTTTCTACGATATTATGTATATTATTTGTATGTATTTTATTATAATTTCATTTAAAGATGGGTTTGTTTCTACTTTCTTTACTATTTTCATTATTTTTTGGAAATGTTCTTACATTCACATGCAGACAAAAAACTGCTATCGAAATGTAAGAAATAATAAGGCATGTTTTTGTTGTTGTCAAAAAAGAAACCCGCCTTAAAGAATGAGTTTTGTTTATCTATTTTAACTAAAAAGTAATCTACTCTTCTTATTTTGTCTTTATATCTAAATGTGAAGTTTATATGTGTTGCTCTTCAAAGAGGACAGCGGTTAAGAATAGAAAGTGTGTGTACCTCCGGTGTTTAGGTGTGTGTTGCTGGCTCCGTGGCGGGGGCTGAGGCTGGGGGAGCCGGGGTAACTGTCCTGGGACTTTGGGGAGCGGATGGGCAAGCAGCGGACCTCGCCGTCTGTACCGTTCACCATCTCCACAAACTGGCGACACCTAAAAAGGAAGGTGGACCGGTGTTAATTGCATTTACTGGGAATGCTTCTTTATCAAGAGCGTTTCACAGAAATATACATCCACAGCAGAGTGGTGTCTCAAAACCTGGAAACGAGTTAGCACTTTATCATGGAAGTCAAGTTGTTCTTTAGACACTTGAAAAAGATCCATGGTTACCACCGGCTTAGAGATTTTCACGTTTTTTTTCTATGATATAAACAAGGGCCAATAAATACCCCACTCGTGAATGTCTTCAACTTCTACGTGTCATAAAAACAGCGGTTGCTAACAAGTGATTAATTGAGACGACTAAACGTCAACACGCCAGACTTTAGCCGCCTTTAGCTTAGAGGTGGTGATGCGCAGCCATGTGACCGTGGTGTGGTTTGTTTATGGTTGTAAAAGTAAGGTTTTTTAATTTTGTATTTAAGCTTAAAAAAATCATAAAAGTGGTGTTAATATGTGGAGATTATCCTGCTGAACAAAATATGTAAGTATGATAATTGTCCGTTTACCATAGCTCTTATTTTTTTTTTGCAATATTGTGAAATCCAATGGAAAAGTCCCATTGCTTTCTGTCTACTGATCACTTGCGATGCTAACTTTGCGTGTTGGCCTACAGAAATACGTCATCACTGCACCACTCTATGGGTGAAGGTAGACAATCAGTGTTCACCTATACAGATTAGTCATGACGCAGCATCTTTGACCTACATTGGATGTTTATCTTTTAACAGCTCTGACTTACTTCAACATGAAGAGTAGGTTAGGGTTGTGTTCTAACAGGCCTGGATAAAGCTGCTGAGTAGCCTCTATGGCTTCGCCCACCCGTCCTGCCAGCACCAGCTTCTGTATTCCTATGAGACAAAAGAAACGGGGCTCTATTTGATCAAGTGGAACCATGCTTTCACAGCTAACATTTTGAAAGAGGTCAGTGTGTCATTCATAGAGGTCATAAGTGGACAATCAATACACACAGTGTCTAATTCTGGACGTTGTTTGTTTCAAAAATGATGAGTGACTTACAATTTGAGTCTACTCTTTGTAATGTTAGGTGCTGTAATAAATACTGTATGTGATCATTGTAACTAGTCGTATACAAATGTAAATATAAAATATGTGCGTATTTGGTTTGTTAACTCACTCTGTCTGTTCTTTATAGATGTCTGGTCCTCTTGTATCAGGGTCTCTGTGGCTCTGGCAAAGGCTGTTGCGGTGGCACAGTACCCATGATGCACCAGGTAACTAGACACCATACTGGAGGCAAGTCAGGGAAAAATCATTTAAAGGTTGCCTTTTTTTAAAGGATAATTGTGATGATTCTTTGTTCATATGGTCAAGAAAATGGCACCAAAAGTCTGTGTCCCTCCTGAGGACACATCTCTAAAAACAGGTACAAATATGGTTTATTCATAAAACATGTTTCACTTATTTCCAACAGCTGGGTACTGAAGTTTTTAACAAACCTTACTCAAACATCAGTAATGCATTTGTTGGTGCCTTTTTCCTCCAGTAGATTATTATTAGAGTGAGAATTGACATCATATAGAAAACTACAGTGCTAATCTTTATGTTAATAAAGGAACATTTCACCCAGTAAAACCGCAATGTGATTTGAATAGTGTTTGGAAAACAATTTAGCTCTACGGCACAGAGAAATAAGATTTAAGGCTTGAGTAAAGAAAAATTGTGTATGTTTCAGAAGTATTTTGTGTAAAATGAACCCTTTTCAGATGCAACAATGTTAACTTTTACTGCTTTTTATTGAAATAACAATTATTGCTTTCAAATGTATTACTGTAGCATCACTCAAAACAGTGTGTCCTTAATAAAACAAACACATTTTTCTTTAATGTTGATCAAAAATAATCAGCAATGCAGATTTTCTAAAATAAATATTTGAAACGTTAAAATTCAAGTCTGATCCACATGTTTTGATGTTGGATTACAGACACAATTAATAACATAGATTTGTACTTCAAACGTAGCAGAAGTAGGAAAGAAAGTCAAGAGAAGCCTGTATTTGTGGAGGTGTGTAATCTCACTTCTGCAGGACAGCCTGCCACTCCCCCAGCCTCTCTCCTATGGGGAAGCGAGCGATCATGCCATGGATCTTCGCCCGCCATTCACTCATGTAGTCCTCGATGTCGTAGACAAACGGCTGCTGGCCAAAGTTTGCATCTACGATCTCACCCGGAGTTTGGAGCCCCACAGTGGGGTACAGGTTGGGCTAGGGGATATTAAAGATAAACACAAATTCAGGTTATAAAGTTTAAAACTTACAATGTTGTAATTTCAAGGGAATGACCTTAAAGCACCACCTGGTGGCCAAAAGAAAGCCCTAAACACACCGCCAACTAAATACAACTTAAAATCTGACTTATTTATGGGGAGCCATTGGAAATGAATGGGGCTGTGACGGATTAACAAGGGCTGCACATTGTTTTGCAGTGCTCCATAACGGCTACGGCACACCAAATATCTAGGTGAATGTACCAATGTCTAAGTGATAAAGCCGGATTTTTAAGCTGCCAAATCCGTGTTTTTCACCCTAAAATTCTAACCCTAACCCAGTCTTTGAAATACTGGATAGCATAAAAGTGTAAAATTGTACACCAGACAAATAAAAGGATAAAGTTAGAGAACATGGAGACAGTTACAAACGGCATGCTAGTCATTAGTTCATGGTGGCAGCAGAGTTGTTTGTTTACCTACAGCTCCAACTGGGATACTAAACAATACCTGTCACCTTTTTATTGATTTTGGAAACATCCTGGTTTGTAAAATATACTTCATGCCTATGCCTCACAAGTGTAAGCATTGATTGTGTTAAGCCTTAGGTCACGGCTTGTTAGGTTCCTGTAATGGAAAACTGTCATTGGGTAAACTGGCCAACAACGCTGTCTTTATATCAGGCTATCATTAGATCATAGGGTTCAGTTGGACTTTGTCTTTTTGGCAAAAAAAAAGCCACCAAATGATATGAACACCATCATCTGTTTGAATGCTGTTTAGTTCTGACAGTGGTTGCTAACTCCATCTGCTCTAGCAACATGTGGCCAGCAGCCAACTGTGATTTGGAGTTCTTTTCTTAAAACCTATTTGGCTGGTAAAACAGTTCAAGTGGTTGTGGGTTGTTGTTTTTTTTCAGAGGAATGTTCCAGTTAGTGCGGCCACTGGACAAAAAAAGGTTGTTTTCCAACCCAACTGCCAATATACAGTAGGCTGCATTTGCAGACAAACCTGGCTGAAACTATATATTTTACAGTTTGTAAGTCACTACAGTAACAGGAATGGTATGACAAGGATCATATAGGTTTGGCATCATCATATAAGTGTAACGTGTTGAATGAAAATCAAAGACTGCATATTTTTCGAAAACATTTTCTCCAAAAACAAACAAAATAGAGTATTTTAATGGCTCCCAAGGCAATGGTGGAGCTTACGGATATAATATGTCAATAAAAGTAAAGCAAAAGGAAGTTTGATAGTAAAAGAGAGCCCTAGTAGATTTAAGAAGGCATTTAAAAATCATGCACATTTAGTGATACTTACAGGGAGGTCTGTGAAGGCTACACCTAAGGGACAAAAAGGACAAAAGGTTAAAGAATATTCAATGATTTCCAGCTATAAATGATGCGGTAAATAACAAACAATGCATTACTGTATCACACAATTGAAATCCAAGTTCACAAACCTAAACTGATGCCGTTTTTGGTGTAAAAGCATGTGTTGTTGATGAGGTTAACGCAGCAGCCAATCACGTCCCCTGTGGTGAACGTCGGGCCGTACGGTTGGCCGGTCCCGGAGGAGCAAAAGGAGTGGCCGTCATCTCCGTGGTAACCGTATGAGTGCTTGTCCCATCCTAAAATAGGAAAAGGATTAGGATTAGTTACGAAAAATGTTGGGAAACAAGGTTAAATGAGTCTGCTTCCTATTCAGTGTCATACTGCAGTGCTCAGTTTCCTGAATACAACGGAGCATCTGAGGTGAAGTGAATTGCTCGAGGTCACTGTTACGTCGCGCTGAAGCAAGGGAGACAGTTAGTCATTGACTTCTGCTGCTCAGATTTTCCCATCAGACTACCACTGCCTGCAGGGCGTTTCATGAAAATTCACACTGACGCACACAGAGACACTTTCTGAGTCTTTGGCATGGCGTGCAGTGCTGAGGACGGCCAGCAGGAGGATCTCTGCTATGTTAAGAAACTGGTGAGTCACTGACAACAGGAACAGCAGCTCCTTAATGTTTTATCCCTGCTGGTAATGATGCATGTGTAGGTTAAGGTGTGTTATTTATGCAGCTGTAGAGTTCTTTCAGTATACCACTCAGTAAGCGCATTTGGAAACGCTTTATTTTACAAGTCTATATTTTCCTTATAACTTCCAATGAGATTTTTCTAGAATGCAGTTTGTTCAAAAGGAAAACATGTCAATATACTTCTTTTACAACAGATGTTTTGACCAGTCCTTGAAAGAATACAAAAAAACGAATAAAAATGGGTCCATTTTTAAACTGCAACAATTATTACCAACTATTTTGTCAATGGTTAATTGACAAAATAATTTTTCATGCAAAACTGTCAGAACATTTAGTGTATAACCCCTTAAATGTGTACATATTTGCCTAATCCACCCCCAGGAACTCATTTTGGTGTGAACGCGATCTGCTTTAGTTCATCAGAACTAAAAGAGTTCTCATGAACTATTGTGGGAAAAGTACTTGGTGTGAACGCGCCTATTCACTCTGGCCATGCCATTTGGGGCCTCATAGGGTTAAGTGTCTTGTTGACTATAGGGGCCCACAACCTCACAAATTAAAGACAACCGCACTACCTCACAACCACAGTCACAGTCACCATTGAACCATTCATTTGAACAATTATCTGGAATTTCCCAATAGAAGCCATCAATCCCACCAAATCATTGTAAAAGATTACTGCATGAAGCTTAAATGTGAAAATGACGTTAAGGTTCCCAATGGAGTGGTGCACAGATGAAGGCCCAATCCCAAACCACGCCCTACACCCTACCCCTACACACTCCCCCTCCGTGACGGAGTGAACTCTGTGGAGTGACACTCGCAGCTCAACGAGGCACCCTCCTGCCAGATGGAGGGAGTAAATACAGCGGCAAGCTTTGGGACAAACTCCCCTCTCTCCGGCAGAAACAGGAAATGCCGTAACTGTATGTAACAACGGTTTCAAATCAGCATCTCTTAGACCAAAATGTAAATTAATAACTCAAATAAAACTCCAAAGCTCTTTTAATTTTAAACCTGATGTTTATAAGCTTCTTAGTTTTTGCAACAGTCTGTAAATATACACAACTTTATAATAAAATGCACACATTTACCTTTTTCTAGACTAACCACAGGTACGATCCTAAGTAAAAAACATATGAGGTTATCATGAGGTTGTTAACATCGCAGTTTATCAGTGGATGTTTGATGGAACTGTTTGTAAACAGCGTGTTTCCTGACGGACACACACAGCGTTGAGACCGGTCAGGTAGAGACCGGTCTCCAGTCAGCACCGCTGCAGACATGCTGTTTGAGGGCTTGACAGCCCACTCCCCCTCCACACCGCTCCACACTCGTTGGTTTGGAACAGCACTTAATGTGGCGGACCCTCCGCACGAACGCGCAAACGGAGGGGTAGGGTGTAGGGCGTGGTTTGGGATTGGGCTGAAGTCTTTTTTGTAGGCCAAACTGGAAGTTATAGAATAGAATAGAATAGGGAGGGATGAAACCCTCTTTAATGGTCACACATGCAGAGCACACAGCACACACAGTGAAATTTGGCCTCTGCTTTTAACCCATCCTAGTACAAGGAGTCTAGTACTAGGAGCAGTGGGCAGCTATTGTACAGCGCCCGGGGAGCAATGGGAGTGGGGGGGAAGGGGGGTGTCCGGTGCCTTGCTCAAGGGCACCACGGCAGGGCAGGAGGTGAACTGGGACCTCTCCAAGTAGAAGTCCACACTCCATATTTAGGTCTGGTCGGGGACTTGAACCAGCGACCCTACGGCTCCCAGTCCAAGCCCCTACTGACTGAGCCACTGCCGGACCAATTAGCATGGCAACAGGGACGTTGACAAAAACCATTGGGATTTCTCTATTGGATTTCGGGAATATTTCAGTAAAATAAATCTTTGCCATACATGAATAAGTATGGTTATGTAAAAAGAGCTAAGGTTAGGCTATAAATGAACTACATCACGCTACATGGCGCTGCATCAACACCGCTAAGCTAAAGGTGGCTAATGTTCTCTTGTTTGCAATATGACATTTAGTAGTCTCTATTAGTAATTTGTTAGCAACGGTCATTTTTATTTCCAATAGAAGCTTCGGACATTCACCAGTGGGGTATTTACTGACATATAAAATGTAATAGAACAAAGCATAAAAATGTATTAAGCTTGTGTTAACCACAGATCTTATTTCAGACATCTACCCAAGACAACATTTTAAAACATTGACTCAAGAAGACGGAACCGGAAGTGGTACAATGATAATTCATTTCAGGGTTTTAGGACTGGTTCCTACACTAGTCTTTTCCTTCAAAGATGAGTAGGCTCTCAAATGTATGTTCTCAGTTTGAATTTTATATTGATGTGATTTAACCATATTCAATCAACCTTGGAAGATATTAAGAAGTGCAAGTAACTACAACATGAACAAGTAGTATAGCCACTCTGTAGTCTGACCTTAAAGGGGACATATCATGCTATATTTGAACAATATATTGTAGGGCCATACCTATATAAAGTAAATAAATATAGTTTTTTTTTCAAAATACCAAACAGATCCTGCATTTTAGCCATGCCTCATTTCGCTCTATTTGCTCTTTCCAGCCCTGTTTTTGCAAGGGCTGATTCTGTGAGCTGCAGCTGACCACGCCCCCCTGCAGGAGAGGGGAGCGTGCTTTGAGATCAGCTGCTGGGCTGTCAGAAGAGGGGGAGAAAAAGAGATCTCCGTCCTCCGTGTTTTATTATATAGAGTCGTTATTCATTTGTTTTAAACTCAATAAATAACAAAGAAGACCTTTGACCGGCACTTTTCTAATTTTGTCCGGAAGATTTAAACTTTAACGGACATGTTGACCGGCGAAAGAAAATCGAACTGAAACTCTGCCGCACGGTCCCCTCGTTCCTTGGAAGAGGCGGAGAGGTGGGTGTTTGTCATCTGCTGGTGGACTAACCGGAGATAATTACAGTGCTTGCCTCGACGGGGAAGGATTGCATTGAATTACAGCAGCAGGAGCAAACGCTTGCCTCGGGGAGGGAGAAAAAGAGCCACAGCGGAGAATAAACAGAAGGGCAACCATGGCAACCATGGGCGGGAAGTCTTCTTCACTGCTTTTGTGGCAGACTACAGCGCCACTTACACGCCTGGTATATGTACTACAGCGTCTCCAGCGCTTTAGAGCAGCAATGGCCGGCCGTGGCCCAACCCCACATTCCCCTGATAGGTGGAGAGTTGACCACTAAGCGGAGCACCACTTTTGTGACGTAGAAAATAATTCAAATCTGGATCAGTTTTTATCAGATCCGTTGCAGCCCCGTTTTTAGAGATTTTGGGTATGGAGGAAAATAGAGAGGGTTGTGTTTTCTGACACTTGGTGAGTTCCCTGGAACACCGGGGACACATATTCATGTATAAAAGACGTACAAAAGTGCATTTTGCATCATAGGTCCCCTTTAATGTATAGTCCTATATATACACACTCTGCACTCTAAGCGGCTGTAAAGCAATCTCTACAGGGTGACATGTGTCCAGCATTTCAAAAAGAAAATACTGACATTAGAATGTTCCTCCTGTCTGCTTCCCAAAGCTGAAATACAACCACAAAATGAACATGTATAAGAGGAGCAGAAGATACTCTCTGTCTTTCTTTGAATGTCTAACCTCTTTAGATCTAATACACATCGGTCCTGTGAATCTAAACCAGCACCCTAATGTCAAGTCAAACACACAGAATGGATCTACAAAGACAATATCGATTTCAGTACGACAAAGAACTGACAACAAGGCAGGATCCTCTTCGGCAAAGGGAAACAACTACATTTGGGAACATCAGACATTCACTTGCAGTCATTTAGATGACCAGCTTATTACGCCTCTAGTTTAACACTAGTCCAGTTTGGGTGGAGTTGTCTTCCTGAATGAGACCTGACCCACCGGCGCTCTGCTTCAGCTCATTGCTCTGACAGCTGCTCAATCACAGCTTGTGTGTCGTTGCCAAAAAGCAAAGCGGGGTTAGTGAAAGTAGGTCGTGGGTGAGATACCAGATGCGTACTTGTATATGTGAGCATGTAATAAAGTATTAACCTAAGCCAAATGTGTGAAATTCGTATGCGCCGTGTGCACTGGTGTGTTTCTTTTAACTTGAGTGCATACTGGGCCAGCTCTCTGTACACGCACGCGTGTGCGTGTGTATGTGTATGTGTATGTGTATGTGTATGTGTATGTGTATGTGTGTGTGTGTGTGTATGTGTATGTGTGTGTATGTGTGTGAGGTATTAGATTAATCTGCTGACAGGGATATTGCCTCTAAAGCCAGGCTCACTGCTCCAACATGCTAATGAAATGGGCAGGCCTCCACAGCAGGATCAGACACAGAGGTCAGTAGTGGAGAACATTGTACTATAAAAAGGGACACACACAAACTCACAAATATATATATATAACACAAACTACCGCAAGAGTACACCAAAACATATGTGCAGATGGACAGAAAAGTGTGCACAAACACAGACAAGTGGCGACAAACACAAACAAGTACACTCGAGAGAGACACACACAGATAAGTCCACAGAGTTTGGGACACCACATACTGTAGGTGGCACACAAACACTTTGAGTCGCTCAGAGCTAAGGCAATCAACAGTAATCTGTCGGCCAGGGCTATCGACCATCTGTAGAGGAAACCTAGCAACCAGAAATATTTTCATAACTAACATGTGAACAGGTTTGGAAAACATGTGCATCCATCGCAGCGCCGTTCCACCCTTTGTGTGACTTTTGACACTTGTGAATCAAGAAGAGAGGAGAATGAGGGATCTCTCTCTGTCTGTGTGTGTGTGTGTGTGTGTGTGTGTGTGTGTGTGTGTGTGTGTGTGTGTGTGTGTGTGTGTGTGTGTGTGTGTGTGTGTGTGTGTGTGTGTGTGTCACATCTTGACTAGTCAATAAGCAGGTCAAATGGCCACAGCCACACAATGTGATTGGTCCAGAGCAGAGGAGTTGTTGTGATTGGTCGGAGACAAAGTGATTCTGATTGGGTGGGATAGGTTAGGGACCATATTCAGGTTGTAAGCTACTATATGACCATTGTGCTACCTCCCATGTCACCAGAGATCAGTGAGCCAGTTTGTCATTGTATGTGTGTGAGTCTCTGTGTGTGTGAGTCCCTGTGTGTGTGAGTCCCTGTGTGTGTGAGTCCCTGTGTGTGTGAGTCCCTGTGTGTGTGAGTCCCTGTGTGTGTGAGTCCCTGTGTGTGTGAGTCCCTGTGTGTGTGAGTCCCTGTGTGTGTGAGTCCCTGTGTGTGTGAGTCCCTGTGTGTGTGAGTCCCTGTGTGTGTGAGTCTCTGTGTGTGTCAGTCTCTGTGTGTGTCAGTCTCTGTGTGTGTCAGTCTCTGTGTGTGTGAGTCTCTGTGTGTGTCAGTCTCTGTGTGTGTGAGTCCCTGTGTGTGTGAGTCTCTGTGTGTGTGAGTCCCTGTGTGTGTGAGTCTCTGTGTGTGTGAGTCTCTGTGTGTGTGAGTCTCTGTGTGTGTCAGTCTCTGTGTGTGTCAGTCTCTGTGTGTGTGAGTCCCTGTGTGTGTGAGTCCCTGTGTGTGTGAGTCCCTGTGTGTGTGAGTCCCTGTGTGTGTAGGCGTGTTTGCAGAGGACATAGGAATATTGGGGGTAGGGTGTTTAGGGCACAAGCATAAACGCTCCACTAGGATTTCACAATAGGAGCTATTAAGTCAATCAACACACATTTATTATAGAAATGTATCATGTGACAGTCTGCATTGGCAATGTACAGGTAGCCAGTGCACTGCAAACAATATATTGTAATGTGATATTTGACAAGGATGTCTTGTTTTCTTTTAAAATCTTTATAGTAGCACCTTTGTTCTCTGGATCCTAGCAATTGAATCAGTGACCTTGGTCTGAGTCAAACTTTGTTCACACATGTAAACAATGTCACTGGAATGGTACAGTATGTATAGAATGACTCACTTGCCTGGGTGTGACATTAAGGAATGTGTGATAAAAGCATGTAATTCATTCTATCTGTATCCTTGGAATGAAGACTTTGTTTAGTCAGTGGTTACAGCCGCCTACATAATACTTGAATTAAAGGGAAACTCCACTGATTCTATGCATCAAAGTCAGTTGACGTATAATAATGCGGATATGGGAGATCTTTGTTATAGACAACAAAACCCTGATGATGTCACAGTCATTGTCATCTGGTTAATCTCAGTTTGGGAGTGGAGGCAATTTATTTATATGAGATGAGTTTATATACACTGGCTTATGGAGTTGGAAAGACTGAGTTGTATTGTAAGAGTTGTTTGATGATGGAAGCAGTATTTTGGGGCTTAAAGGTTCACTGTGAAATAAGTCAAGTCCTTAAGTCCAACCCTCAATCTGCTCTGTCACACTCGTTCTTGGCTAAGTCAAATGAATGGAGAGGAACAATACATTTAGATTCCGATTTTAGCATATTTACAACTTTAGGCCCTAATTATTTCAATAAAGGCCATTCGAGTGATTTGAAAATGAGCTTGGCTCACTTCCTGGAGGCTTGGCTGTAGCAGATCAGCAAAGCTACCTGAAAACATGGCTAAAACAATTAATGGTTTAAAATGTTAATACATTTGGCTTTTTTAATGACTAAGGAAATGCATTCAACGTGTTTGTCAGGCCTCACACACACGTTGGTGAATAACACTGAATGTAAACATACTTTTTCTTTGTTTACAAGAAAACTCCACAGGCCACCTCAAATCAATACTAGAGACAAAAAGTTAGGGCAGCTCATTCTCTGATGCATTATTCCTGACCATTCTTTTTTATATATAATACTAATTTAAGTCTAACTATTCATTTTACTTCATTTAACTGGTAATAATCCAGATGGTTTTTATAGTTGTTCATTGTTAGGCCACCCTTAGATAGGTTAGAAACAGATTCACACACATATCCTATAGCCAAACATGCATTTGAAATCCTTATAATTGGGTGTTTAGGCCCAACATTGTATTTTTTAATGTAAAATATAATTTGAATATTCTATCATTACAAAGCGAGAAGCAAGCTTTTTCTTCAGTCAGATTAGTCTGGGGTCAGATTTCAAGCCTGAGTCAACATCATCCGTCACTGATCTACATGACTGTATGGTGACCTGTCCTGACATGTTCTTTCTGCAGCTGTCGGGCTGAATCCACAAGCCACATCCAATTACTCTAGCAAGGCCACACATCCTCATTTCCGTTTGCTTTCATCCTCAAATCTCATAAATGTTGGCACTAGTCCGGCTACTTTCACATATCCACAAAATCTATTTCTTGTCACTTTCTTCATTTCTTTCATCTAAATTCATATCTTTCCTCCACACAATCCTTCCCCACTACTCCAGCACCAAAAACATCTACGCCCTGAATGAAAACAATGACTGGGTGCTAATAATCAGCCCTTTTCCAGTGTTTACATTGTTGAATAGACTGCTGCAGGGATGACGTGTCTGTGTAGGCTGACCCCAAGTCAGCATCCCATTGTTTCCCTTGACAAAAAGCCAAAAGGATTTAGGGACACAGCTTTAGACATTTAAGCGTGTGGAATTTATTTTATGTTGCAGATAATAATGTGATATAAAACGTGCAACTTGTATTAACTTCAGACATTATTTTGGGAATCTAACCAAAAACTAATTTAAAAAAAACATTGACTTCGAGGGAGTCGTGGGTGCTGAATTGCTAAAATGCTAACTCATTTCCCGGTTTAGGACTCATTCCTGCACCGCTCAAAACACATAAAACCTTAGAAATACACAAGTTTACTGCTATATATTATATTGTAGTTGAAAACTTTAAAATCTGTCAGGCTTGCGAATAGACCTTATTTCAGAACTTATTACCTCTTTCCAACCAAAAACCAAGACACTTAAACCTTTCCAGGTTCAGGTACCTATTCCTGCTCTATAAGACATCTGTATTCAGTAAAAGCTAAGTAAACCATCAACACCGCACTGTCAATGCTAGATTGTAATCTGAGTCAATCAGGTTGGATGGCTGAAAAGGTGTCCCCATAAGTCATTGGAAAAGTTCAATGTCAAGGTTATAGCCAGACCCTAAAGAACTGCAAAGTCTATTGTGTAACCAAAATTAAACATGAAACAGAACATTGTTTTTCTTCTAATCCTGCCAAAGAACTTAACTGAACAAACTTTAAAGCTATGCAGACCAATGTTATCGTTTGAAATTGGCCTGATTATATACTCGCCATACTCGTATTGAGTATCCTTTGGGATATTTATTTCGCCCCATCTTGTGATTGCTCTAGCAATAGATATTCAGATATCGACTTGTTATTTTACCGACCTGTCATCAAGTCATTCTGAGAACCATCTTTCCATTGTAACACCCTTTAATGAATACCAGCATTGATTGAAAATGTGTATCTGCCCATTGCCATACAGGTTATGTTATGGAGGCATCATTCACATGTTACTCACCAGGCAGTCTGTTCATGTTGACTCCCTGTGCCGACAGGCCGATGCCCATGTACCTGCACGAAAAAAAATCAAACAATTACTTAGCATGAACCAACATTTAAATATACTGGCAATGATTCCAGAGTATCAATGATTTAGGTGTTTTATCAGGCAACTTAGAATATTCAGATCCCTCCTTTTATGGATGTTAGGCAGAGGTAACTTTGAACATACTGTCTTTGATCTGGCAGAGCGAGAGGCCTCAAAGTGAGAGTCGTAACATCAAACGTGACAACGAGAGATGAAGCTCAGGGGTCATCGTGACATCATAAGTCCGTCACACTTGGATAAGCACTTGGCCTGCATCCTTTTCATGTTAGGAAGCTTAAGAAAGCACAGCAAAAAACCTTTTTGCTCAATTGAACGAGTCATCAATATCGTCAGTTGAATGAGTTTGGCAGAGACTCAGCCTCGCTTTGGCAAATGCTCATGTCATCACTCAAATCCCAGCATTAAACTACTTCTTGTGTTAGCCAAATGGATGCCATCAATGTTGATAGCACGCCACTGTTAGCATCTAGGCTAAATGAAATGCTCGTTGATACTATGGGTACTTGTAAATGTCTATAACTATGTAAATGTATCCTGTAAATATAATGTATGATGTCCTTTATTGTTTTATGTTTCATGTGGAACCTATATGCTGCAGGTCTCCCTTGAAAAAGAGATCTATGATCTCAATGGGACCAATCTGGTTAAATAAAGGTTTGAAATGAAATGAAATGAGCATCTCAAAATGCAAATTGAGCCTTTTAACACAATAACAATGCGCGTTTAATGTTAAGCATTTTAGCATATGAGGGTTCATACCATCAGCATGATAATGCAAAAATGTTGCATATGAGCTTAACATGCACATTTTTAGGCATTTTACAATTCTAACTTTGAGAGAGCACAAAAAATAAAGTGCACCAATATGAGGTCTTCTCTTCTCCAGTACTGTTTTGCATGTTAACATTTTTAAAATGTGGCTATCATTTAGCTTTAGCATGTTGGCAAGCTATGACTAGCTTTTATGTCAAACCTAACGTTGCCTTGCAAGAGTTCTATGTTAAAATGTGTTTGTAGCACATCTTATGCCTACATTTATTAAGGGTTTTGCCTTTGAAGTACCCTGCTATAAATGGCATTATGGGCAAGTATTATTAGGTATACATCCCTCAGCAAACTCTGAATTTCCATACCGATGTTCACATCAATCCTTCCAATAACTCTCAAGACTGACCAACCAACCAAGCTATCCCAAGAGCAACCACGTAGGAAAAAGATACATTAAACTCATGGCCAATGATTGCTTATGATGATGACTTATTGTTTGTTGCCAATAGCTATATTTTCTCCTAGATGGCACTTGTGTTCATATCCAGCCAATGCAGAGCAGGAATCCATATGAACATAAAACCTGAGACTTAACAGAGTATGAACAATAAACACTAATAGCAGGAACTAGTGAAGTTTTTATTGTTGTGCCAATTTTTTTGGCACAGAGAAAATGACAGTCATTAAAGCTTCAATAGGGTTGTATCTTCTTACCCATCTCGACCTTTGCTGACAATCTTGACTTCAAAGTAGTAGATCCCACAGGCAGCAGGGATTGGTTGTGTTGCTCGCACTGATGCTGCGTCCTTGTGGTTCTTACCATGACCTGCAAGAATACAAATAGTAGGTGTTACATGAAGGATGTGGCATTGAGCATTGAGAACTAAGCTGACAGTGACATTTTGCAGCCACTTCCAATTTGATTTCACTAACAAAATGGAGATTTAAAACAACATTGGAACAGATTGCTTGCTTTGATTGCTGGTTTTCTGACAAAACTGGTAGAGCAGACAAACACATTCACCAAACTGGTTTGGTTGTTTGCTAAATTTAATTCCAAAACAACAGAGGGAAAGTCGACAGCTCATAAAAATTCTACATTTGTGCACTCAACTGCCTTTGTTGTCTCATGAGCTGTCACAAATGGTCTGCATTTTGTTTACACCAGCTGGTGGGTGTTAAGCATCTTAAATGCCCAGTGTCTAAGAAATGTAACTCCAGCTTTACACTGTCAAACTTATCCAAGTCAAAACATTTGAACAATAAAAAAGAAAAAGTAAGTTACTGGAATATCAATGTCAAAAAAAGAAGATAAATCATATTCTTTTTTACATGGACAATGTATGCATTTCTAAAATGTTACAACTCTATTATGCAAAATGTGATCAAAATGTAAAACTCGTAAAACTCTTTTATGCTATAATCTTAAACTTTCAACATATTTTATGACAAATCAAGATTTTGTCTTTCGTTTTCAACCGATTCAGGCTTCTATGTTCAAAGGTTATTGCTAGTGAAAATCTATCAGCCTACCAGAAGCTGACTGACCTCTGCACAAGCCAAAGTAAAGCACTGGTTGGTTTTATTTGTCAACTATGTGACAATATTCTGTTATGGCTGTGACTTTACTGATCTAGTGTGCTCTCATCGACTTTTTTTTCTTGATCCCCTGACCTATGTTTCATGAACAATTTCCTCTTTGTCAAACTTCATCTTCTGGGACAACTTTATCAATCCACACATTCACTTCTAACGATATGGCTTACTATACTGGGAACTACAAGTGATCAGTCCTTGACAAGAGCTCTGATAGGACTGTCTTTATCCCAATAGATAGAACCGGAGGATGAAACCTTTATTTGTCACACATACATGCACACAGCACCAGAGTTGGGTGTAACGCGTTACTTTTATAAATTCAGTAATCACACTACAGTTAGCCTACTAACATAAAGAATTACTAGATTCTCCCTTGGACAGACAAGAGGGATTTCCGCCGTAGGTTTATATTTACGTAACATTTGCGCGACTTGCGCGTCCACATCCGTTCTTATTATACATCCATGGTCCACATGCAGTGCATAAACATGGCTGAGTCGTCATCAGCATCAACAGCGATAACTTTCGAGGGGTGGAGGTATGCCCATTATTTTGAGTTCGTCCGAAGAAAGGACAGGAATGTGACGGTGAGGTGCAAACTGTGTCCAGGCCAGAAGCTTTTATCCACTGCTGCAAACACAACGTCAAACCTCCACAAGCACCTGCAAAGACAACATGCTAACGTGAAGCTAATAGCTAAGGATCTCCGAATCCAGTGATAGGTAGGTTTTCACCGACTGTTAGCTTGTGGTAGCCTATTTTATTAAAGAGCATAAAAAGAAAGACTTGTGTTATGTCTTCCTTATTGCAATAGTAATTGTTATATGTGTGCACATGTAGGCCTAAGTTTTAAGTTGTGGCTATAGGCTGTTGCTGAGTAACGCAAAAGTAATGTAAAGAAACGAGTAAAGTAACGACTACTTTATGTAGAGAGTAACGAAGTAAAGTAATATATTACTTTTTTTGAGTAACGACCCCATCTCTGTACAGCACACACAGTGAAATGTGGTCTCTGCTTTTTACCCATCCTAGTACTAGGAGCAGTGGGCAGCTATTGCACAGCGCCCAGGGAGCAATGGGAGTGGGGGGGCTGGGGGGGTGTCCGATGCCTTGCTCAGGGCACCACAGCAGGGCAGGAGGTGGACTGGGACCTCGCCAAGTAGCAGTCCACACTCCATATTTAGGTCTGTTCAGGGACTTGAACCAGCGGCCCTACGGCTCACAGTCCAAGCCCCTACTGACTGAGTCACTACCGGAGAGTGATGCAAGAATGAGTCCTAAAACCCATAAAATAATTAACATTCTGCCACTTCCTGTTCCCTCGTCTTGAAGTCGCGTTTGTAGTAACATGCCTGAAATCAGGTCTGTGGTAAACACAAGCTTTAGAGATATTCATGTTTTGCTTTATGACTTACAACACTTTGGTAAATACACCACTGTTGAATGTCTAAATCTTCAACGAGACTACATAACACCATCAACATTAGCACACAGACATGCAACCATGATGACATTTGTTTATAGCCTAACGTTGGCTAGTTAATTCTGGAAATTGCATTTAAGCTTAAAAAAAGCATAGACTATGGTGTTAAAATGAACACAACTTGCAAGTAAAATAAACGTGTGTTTGCCACAGATCCTATTTTCTGCAAGATCCAATGGAAAAATGCAATTTCTCCAGTCGAGGGAGCCCCTGCGATGCTGACTTCCGGGTTGGCCTACGAAAATACCTCATCACTGCACCACTCTATAGTCCACACTTTTGTCAAGGTGACTCTTCTACAATTCCATGATAAATAACAGATGTTTTTGTGTGTAAAGATGAAGACTTTATGTACAATCAGTGGTGAAGATGTAAGCAAAAGGGGTCATAGGGCTCATGGTATTGTCTTTGAACCAATTAAATTGAAGCACAACAGTCATTACTGTCCAGTGTCTGCTATTCTATATTCAGATGGCTGCTTATGCAATCCCTCGGGTCATGAGAGGAGGATAGAGAGAGAGAGACAGAGAGAGAGAGAGAGAGAGAGAGAGAGAGACTACCATGTTCAGTTGTGTGTTGTTGTATAACTGCCATCTAGGCTCTACAGTAAACATGTGCATCTCTTCGTTACATGTAATCTGTTCTGATAGTCATTGTGAGCTCTTTGTGTACGTGTACGTGTGTGTGTGTGTTTGCAATACTGCATGTGCATGTAAGAAATGTAGATAGGTTGTAACCTTAAACGAAGCAGCTGGCTGTCAGCAGACACCTTGAGGCTGTTGCTCTTGGTGTGTGTGTGTGTGTGTGTGTGTGTGTGTGTGTGTGTGTGTGTGTGTGTGTGTGTGTGTATACAGGACATATAGTGATGATTAAAAATGCTAGTCAAATGAAACCGAGCTTAGTGTTTTGGTCTATATTTTACTTTTATTTTATGTAACATTTACGCTTGTAGTGATTTTAACGCTCATGAAATCATCATCACACAAGTGCCAACAATATTTAAAGAAGATAAATGTCATGCATTCCTTGCCTTAAGATGTTAAAACAATGATGGGGAATGTTAGGCTAATGCACAAAACTTACATATATGCTTGTCCATCATTGTCATCAAATTAAAATGGTTTACGAAATAAATCATTACCATAACATTCACTTCCTCACGTTCTATAGCTAAAATCTATATTTATGTTATCACTGCATGTGCGTGTTTGTGTGTGATTGTCCGGTCCAATGGCGGCAGGAACATTGGTAAAGTCTATTTTTAGCTGCTCCTTGTGAAAACGATTCGTCAGTAGGCCAACAGGTCTCTTTACAACTGCATAGATGGGTAGGAGAAATGGCTACTACTTTAAACACCTACTGCCCGCCAAAGGGTAGTCCAAATGATCTGTTTATAAAAGCAAAAGGTTTACATCATGTAGGATTTTCAACCTTATCCGAAATATTAACATAAGAATGCAACTATTTAGCTGAAGCAAAGGGTCATCTGGTAAAAAGCTCTGGAACAACCTTTCAGCTGTTATGTGACATTAAACCTCTTGACTGGAGGTTAAGGATCAAAGGTTAATGTGTTGTTCTTACAACATAGCACAGTGCGGCCCTGATGATAACTAGTAATCACTTCCTAGGTTTAACCCTTGACCCCCACCAGGAGAAAGTGCAGAAAAGTTCTTTCAACTCTATAACAATAAGAAAATCAGGTAATATTTTGGGTCTGGCCAAGCAGTGCAAGGCTACATATTGACTGTTTGTGTACACAGCTAAAGTCTGGAAGGGGCCCTATTATTCTGATTTTCAGATTCATATTTGTATTCTGTGCCTCTACTGTGACATGTTTCCATGCTTAATTGTTAAAAAAGCTCTTTATTTTTCTCATACTGATATTAAACTATAATAAGGACTATAATTGGGTGTTTCAGCCAGGGTGTGTGAGAGAGAAACTCCATCTTGAGGGATTGCACAGGGATTTTAGCCTTTGCAGATAATTTCATGCACAAAGACCTAGAGAACACACTACAGGAAAGGGAAAATCCTATAAAGCATAAAAGGGCCTCTTTAAGAAATGTTAAAAGCAGTAGGGATGCAACGGATGAAATTCCAAAAAAACAGACAATTAATCAACATCAAAACAACGGTTTCAGAATCAGAATCAGAAAACAGGTTTATTGCCAGGTAGGTTCACACATACGAGGAATTTGACGTGATGTCATGGTGCATACATAAAATATAAAACAAAGAATCTCCATATAAAACAAAAAATCTTTAAGGACACTGTAATAAAATATAGTTAAATAGCAATAAAATAAAGCAGTAATTTACAGCGAAATAGAATGTAATGAATTACAGAATATAAACTATGAAATATGAAATAAGAATATGTGCAGTAAGCAGTATGAACATTGTGTGCATTAATGTAATGCATATTGTGGGTGTTTCTCAATCTCGAGTAAAGCTGCTCCAGAGCCACTATTTCAAGCATACTACGTCATCGAGTGCCGCCGAAGGACTGTTCCAATCTCCAGCATACTTGGAATTCTACAGAGCCCGGCGTACTTCGTTTGGAGAAATTTCGAGGCTGCACATGAGTAGACTCCGCGGTCTTAAAATCCCCACAATGCTTTGCGCACGGACCAATTTATTGCAAATCTGTGGCGGAAAACGTAAGGCGGGGCCTCTCATATGACGCACACCTGCACACTTGCTAGCCTGTTCCACTCTTTGTTTTCCGAATACGAGTTAGTATT